TCTGCCTTCGGATGAGTCCGTAGAGTCGAGTGGCCCGTATCCAGAGCTTGTTGGCTGCCTCATGTACCTGATGACCTGCACTCGACCTGACCTACTTGTGCAGTACGTCGGGCATGGGCCTAGTGCTTGGAGGGCGGAGTCCAGTGGTCCTCACTGGGCATGCGGACGCTTCTTGGGCTGACGACCAGGCTACGCAGCGGTCGTCACAGGGTTACACCTTCAGTCTTGGTTCCGGCTCTGTTTCGTGGCGGGCTACCCGCTCGTCTTCTATTCTCGGCTCCAGTTGTGAGGCTGAGATCTACGCCGGGGCTATGGCTGCCCAGGAGCTTCGCTGGCTCACCTACCTGCTGACCGACCTTGGAGAGCCGCCTCGTTCTCCTCCAGTCCTGTACGTAGACAACAAGGCCATGCTGGCCTTGTGTCGAGAGCAGCGAATGGAGCACAGAACAAAGCACATTGCTCTCCGCTACTTTCTTGCTCGTGAGCTGCAGCAGCGTGGACAGTTGCGACTCGCGTACGTGGCCTCTGAGGCCAACACTGCTGATGTCTTCACCAAGGCACTTGCGCCTTGTGATCATCAGCGCTTCTGCACGCAGCTGGGTCTTGTGCCTGTCTTGCCTCACTTGCTCACTTCTTGACCTTGCTTGTACTTTCACATATATATACTCTTGCTCTTGCTTGCTTACACTCTTGTATATCTATATATGTGATCTTGCATGTGAGCTGGCCTTCTGGCCTTTGAACTTTTGCTCGGAATGTGTGGTGACTTTGTGATCCACCCTGAGCTTTGCTTTGCTTTGCTTGACTGTTCTTGTGACCCCTTGTTCTCCCCCACTTTGCCTATGAGGGTGTGTCAGAACATTATAGCTTACTTATTTGTGTAGGCTTTAGTGGGGTATCCCATAGGGGGTACAACCCAATTAGGGTTTCCTATTTGTACTCACTTCGTTCGTAGTCATTTCATTCTCGTTCTTAAAACGATACCCTAGGATTTTTCACAACGACTTACCGGAGGGACTGCCACTTCAGCGGGCACACGATCACCGAATAGAGTTAGAACCCGAGACACAGTCAACTGCAGCGAGAGTTCAGACTGACACAGCCCGAGCTCGACGAACTAAGGAAGCAGTTAGATTACCTGTTAGAGAAAAAAATCATCCGATCGAGTTCGTCACCGTTCACCGCACCGATACTGTTCATACCGAAAAAGGACGGATGTTTTCGCATGTCCATCGACTACAAAGCACTAAACAGGGTAACAGTCAAGTCCCGATACCCTATTCCCCGCGTCGACGAACTGATAGGTCAACTGCGAACAACACGTGTTTTTTCGAAAATCGTTTTACGGGGAGGTTACCATCACATTCGGGTCGAACCATCAGACTGCGCCAAGACAGCATTTAGGACTAGGTACGGGTCATTTGAGTATACAGTAATGCCTTTTGGGCTGACCAACGCATCAGCGACTTTTCAGATGCCCATGAACGAGGCGTTTAGGCCACTCTTAGATAAATACGTGATAGTTTACCTCGACGATATCCTCGTCTACAGTCGGGACAAGAAGCAGCACTTAACGGATCTAGATGAAGTATTTAAAAATTAAGACGAGCACCACCTACTGACCAAGGGTTCCAAGTGCGATTTTCTTCGAGACAGGCTAGAATTTCTGGGGCACGTTATTGTCAGAGGTCCGCTGGTGATCCCCGATTGATCCTAGGGAAGGGTTACAGGCACGTTGGCCTGAGGGGTTATGGGCGCACTGACCCGCTACTTAACAAGCCCTTTTATCCCAATGGTCTAGTGGTTGGGATTCTGACATGGTATCAGAGCGAAGGTCACGGGTGTATGCACTTCGGGCATCCTAGTGCGGGGGGGTGTCAGAGGTCCACTGGTGATCCCTGATTGATCCTAAGGAAGGGTTACAAGCATGTTGGCCTGGGGGGTTATGGGCGTACTGACCCGCTACTTAACAAGTCATTTTATCCCAATGGTCTAGTGGTTGGGATTCTGACAGTTATTTCAGAGGCTGGGGTTGAGATTGACCCAAAGAAGCTGGACACGGTCAAAGCGTGGCACCCCCCGGACAAATATTATGGAGCTGCAAAGTTTTTTAGGGTTCGTTAATTACGTGCGTCGGTTCGTCCCCGACATGGCGAGGTTAACAGCCCCACTGACGGATCTGCTGCAGAAGGGGGTCTCTTTTACGTGGGGGGAGAAAGAGCATGCTGCCTTCTCTGCCCTGAAAGATCTTCTCTGTTCACCGCCCGTACTACGCATCGCCGACCCACACCGCCCATTCGAAGTAGTTACAGACGCAAGCAACATCGCCATCTGAGCCGTACTGCTACGGGATTTCTGCAACGGCCTACACCCCATCGCATACGAGTCACGAAAACTGCATCCGCTCGAGAAAAAATAACCGATACACGACCGCAAAATGCTCGCGATCGTGCACGCATTCAAAGTGTGGCGCTGTTACGTGACCGGCGCAGACGTGACAGTAAGGACAGACCACAAATCACTACAGTTCCTCTGCGCACAGCCCCACCTCAACCCATGACAGATTCGCTGGCTCGATTCGAGTCAAATTTTCACTACACGGTCACCTACAAAAAGGGGGCATCAAACATCGCCAACGCACTGACCCGCCCCACTGCCCAAATCCACGCCATACTACTCGCCCAAACCAGCCCGCTACTGACAAGACTATTTACCCACGGCTATCAAACTGACCCATTCTTCAGAGGAGGACATTTGCAGCAGTTCGCAGCAGCAAAGGGAGTTTATTACGTAAAAGACGGCACCGACCGCATCTGGGTACCGGGTTACACGTTTCTATGGGAATTACTGCTACAAGAGGCACATGACGGAGTTACCTCAGGCCATTTTGGAGTAGAAAAAACATGGCAGCAGCTGCAGCGGTACTATTAATGGGCAGAGATGTTGACCGACGTGCAACGACACGTGGCATCGTATCCCACCTGCCAGAACATGAAATTATCACGGAAGCGGCCGGCATGACAGTTGCAGCCGATACCGCCCCCAGAGCGTGCTTGGCATTAGGTGACGATGGACTTGGACACGGGGTTACCGGGCGGGGCGAGTGGGAACGACGTGATCCTGGTCGTCGTCGATCGACTTATGAAAATGACGCATTTCATAGCATGCAAGAAATCAATCTCATCCGAAGAAACAGCTCGGCTCTTCATCGCCACCGTCGTTCGACTGCACGGGATACCAGCAGCCATCATCAGCGATCGAGACACGAAGTTTACTAGCAACTTCTGGCGGAACCTGTGACAGTAGTTCGGCACGCGACTACAGTTTAGTTCTTCTTACCACCCTGAAACCGACGGACAGACAGAACGGACAAATCAGACCATGGAGCAAATCATCTGAGCCACGTGCGATGATCCGACCACCTGGGAACAGCAACTGCCACTCATCGAATTCACATACAACAACTCGCTATCTGCCACGACCCAACAGTCACCGTTTTACCTGAACTACAGACAAGACCCTACAGTACCCATGACCCCGAATCCCGACAACCCATTACCACGCGCGCAACAGTTTGCAGAAATCTCACAGGCAGCACGGTCCCGGGCAGCCGACGCAATTAAAAGGGCCAACGTCATCGCTAAACGCTACGCCGACCGCCACCGCAGACCTGTCACTTACCAGCCAGATGACCTAGTTCTACTCGTCACCCAAAACCTTCGCCTGCCCACCACCCCGAAACTCTGGCCCCGATATTGCGGACCATTTCGCATCAGCCACATGATCACACCCGTCACCGCCCACCTCCTCCTCCTTGCTGACTGGTACGTCAGCCCGTCCTTCCATGTCAGCCCTTACGTACCATCCACCGGCCAACTGCCTCGCAACCGCCCAGCGAGCATGACACGGCCGCCGACAGAACCAATCATCACGTCCGAAAAGATTATGAGCCACCGAGTTCGTGACCCACGGAGAGCTCGAAGGATCGAAATTCTCATCCGTTGGAAAGACCGTACGCCCACCGAAGACAACTGGGTTCCTCTGGAGAGAGTTGAAAACCACCCCGTCCTCACCGAGTATCTGCGCGGTCGAAATTTCTGGGATGTATACGCGCTTTCGTACGGAGGGTCTGCTTAGGGGGGGGGGGGGGGGGGGGGGGGGGGGGGGGGGGGGGGGGGGGGGCAACAGCACCCAACAGTAATCCGTTACCACTCGCGACACTCGCCTCGACACTGTTCCCGCCACTGTTTACGACGCGACCCAACCTCACGGTTCGGTTGGTAACCCGCACTCCGGACCTCTGCCTCGACATTTCCCAACCTCGGCGCTAGGCCTGTCGCGCACCCCATTTTCCACGCATTACCGTTACCACTGTAGTTTCGCTATATATTCTTCGCTCATGCCTTCGCTCATTGTACTCTTGCCTCGATAGTGCAATTCTCGCTTGATCACTCAATCGCACGCGTACTAGTAAGACACTACACACCACAGCTAGTCACCAGAGCTTCCTATTTACATGTTAAGTACTCTAGCTTGGGTATTACAGTATACCAATGCTCAATCTGTGTAAATTTGTACAATCAAACCAGCGATTGCATTGTTGAGAACCAACTGGGACTGGAACACTTAATCAAAGTCATGTCAGCACTCAGCAATCATTCGTCCTATGTTCTCCCCAATCCTCTGCTTGGCTTTCTCGCACACAGGCGGGTGACCAATGTACAAGTCAAAGAAGGCTCCTGGTCAATCAGGTGTACACAACGAAAACGGAGTTGGAACAACCGAAGGAGTAAAAGAGTATTTGAAAACTGATTAATGGTTGTTTAAGAATGGCTGGCAAGGTATAAGGATACATACGCCCGCAAGTTAAGTCAACAAGCAAGCATTAACAAGTTTTGACAGCTCAGCAAGCAGCAGCAGGAGTCAATTTGCAGAATGCAGGGAGTGATCGAGACTCACTGCATAGAGGAGCGCTGACTATCGGGTCCATGCACCTGCCGTCAACTGGAGGGGAAAGAGATAGGAGAGGGATGAGGGGGGAGGGTGAGAGAAGGCTGGGGTGAGTAAAGCGGGTTCATAGCAGAGAGAAGTGCTGACAATGGGACCCATGCCCCTGCCGTCCACTGGAGGGGAAGGAGGGAGAGGAAGGGAGAGAGGAGTGTGGGAGAGGACAAAAGCGAGTAAAACAGGTTCATAGCAAAGAGGAGCACTGACAATGAGATGCACACGCACCCACCCACCCACCCACCCTCCCTCCCCCACAAACTCCCCTCCCCAACAACCCCCCCCCCCCCCCTCCCAGCACACACTCCATCCAAAGTCAGTGCACTCACTCTCAGTGAGCAGTGTTCCTCCTGGCTGCCAGGTGAAGTCGATGGTGGTGCCCTGAGGTCAATGTGTGATAAGAGACAGTGGAGGATTGCACAGGGGTGCAAAGTGGTGATGACAAAAAAGAGTTACACAGGGGCAAGAGGAAGTGAATTCTAAGGTGCCCTAAACGCCGATGGTGGTATCCTGCGGTCAATGGGTGACAAGGGACAGAGGGAGATTACAGAGGGGTGAAAAAGGGTGATATAAGGTGGTTGCAAGAATCAAGGACATGCCACGGACGGCACAGCTTGTTGTGTAGCAGTGGCAGGTGATTGCAGGGAGGGGAATCAGCCAATGACGCTTGAGGGCCGTGGAGGGCAAGGGAAGGGAGCTAAATGGTAGTCGAGAGCAAAGGCATGAAAGAAGTGCGGTTACACAGTGGGGAGAGTGGGAGAGCAGACAGCAGAAATCGAGGGCAGAGAGTAGAGAGCAGAGAGCAGAAAGAAGAGAGATCAGGGAGCACAGAAGACACAGCAGAAAGAAGAGAGAACAGGGAGCACAGAAGACACAGCAGAAAGAAGAGAGAACAGGGAGAAAAGAAGACACAGCAGAAAGAAGAGAGAACAGGGAGCAAAGAAGACACAGCAGAACGAAGAGAGAACAGGGAGCAAAGAAGACGCAGCAGAAAGAAGAGAGAACAGGGAGCAAAGAAGACACAGCAGAAAGAATAGAGAACAGGGAGCAAAGAAGACACAGCAGAAAGAAGAGAGAACAGGGAGCAAAGAAGACACAGCAGAAAGAAGAGAGAACAGGGAGCAAAGAAGACACAGCAGAAAGAAGAGAGAACAGGGAGCAAAGAAGACACAGCAGAAAGAAGAGAGAACAGGGAGCAAAGAAGACACAGCAGAAAGAAGAGAGAACAGGGAGCAAAGAAGACACAGCAGAAAGAAGAGAGAACAGGGAGCAAAGAAGACACAGCAGAAAGAAGAGAGAACAGGGAGCAAAGAAGACACAGCAGAAAGAAGAGAGAACAGGGAGCAAAGAAGACACAGCAGAAAGAAGAGAGAACAGGGAGCAAAGAAGACACAGCAGAAAGAAGAGAGAACAGGGAGCAAAGAAGACACAGCAGAAAGAAGAGAGAACAGGGAGCAAAGAAGACACAGCAGAAAGAAGAGAGAACAGGGAGCAAAGAAGACACAGCAGAAAGAAGAGAGAACAGGGAGCAAAGAAGACACAGCAGAAAGAAGAGAGAACAGGGAGCAAAGAAGACACAGCAGAAAGAAGAGAGAACAGGGAGCAAAGAAGACACAGCAGAAAGAAGAGAGAACAGGGAGCAAAGAAGACACAGCAGAAAGAAGAGAGAACAGGGAGCAAAGAAGACACAGCAGAAAGAAGAGAGAACAGGGAGCAAAGAAGACACAGCAGAAAGAAGAGAGAACAGGGAGCAAAGAAGACACAGCAGAAAGAAAACTGCAGAGAGCAGAGAGCACTGACCCTCTAGACTTGGTGCGGTGGCGAGAGGTACTCGTTGAGAGCAGCTGGCAGAGAGCAGCGAGCAGAGAGCGGAGAGCATAGAGCAACAAGCAGAGAGCAGCGAGCATGGAGCATGGAGCAGGGAGCATGGAGCATGGAGCAGGGAGCATGGAGCAGGGAGCACTGACCCTCTTGACTTGGTGCGGTAGCGAGAGGTACTCGTTGAGAGTGTGGAAGCCTGGGTCATCCGCATGGCCCAGTAGCTGTGCGGGGGAGGAGGCATGACAGAGGAGCAGGCGAGAGGAAAAGCAGAGGTGTGAGCGTGGGAAGAAAGAAAAGACTGACGGGAGAGGGACTCGTTGAGAGTGTGGAAGCACCGGCCGTCTGCATGGCCCAGTAGCTGTGGGGGGCATGTCAGAGGAGGAGGGCGTGGGCGTCGGCGTGGGGTGGTGAGGAAGAGGCTGAGGGGTCAGAGGGGGGAAAAAGGGCCTTCCATTCTGTACAGCTGAGAGGTGCAGGGAGTGCTGTTAGTGAGCATTTCTAAATTGGTGTTCTGTAAGGGGCAAGTTCAGGAGCAACTTGGTGAGAGAATCCAAAGACATGAGAGGTGTTATCTAACAAGCCAAAGACATGAGAGGTGTTATCTAACAAGCCAAAGACATGAGAGGTGTTATCTAACAAGCCAAAGACATGAGAGGTGTTATCTAACAAGCCAAAGACATGAGAGGTGTTATCTAACAAGCCAAAGACATGAGAGGTGTTATCTAACAAGCCAAAGACATGAGAGGTGTTATCTAACAAGCCAAAGACATGAGAGGTGTTATCTAACAAGCCAAAGACATGAGAGGTGTTATCTAACAAGCCAAAGACATGAGAGGTGTTATCTAACAAGCCAAAGACATGAGAGGTGTTATCTAACAAGCCAAAGACATGAGAGGTGTTATCTAACAAGCCAAAGACATGAGAGGTGTTATCTAACAAGCCAAAGACATGAGAGGTGTTATCTAACATTCTATCCTATAAACACTTGCTGCAAGAGGCCAGAGTAGGGAGCAAAGATGGCGAGATAAATGGTCAAGCATACCTTGGTGAGGCGATTGGAGAGAGATGTGTTGAGCGCACTGGCCAGGGGGAGCACAGGGCCGGGTTTAGGGGAGTGGAAAGCGAGGAGAGGGGGTTTAGTGTGACCCAAGGATGCATCACTAGCAGGAGGATGAGAGGACACTTTGACTGGCATTGACTCTCACTGATTCGCATTGACCCGCATTGACTAACGTTGATCCAGTCGAACCAAGCCACTCACTTGCGCACCATCTTCATGTTGAGCCCTCTGTAATGCATCACAAGGTGCATTGACTGGTGTTGACCTACATTGACTCGCATCCCCTGGCATTGACTCAGGTCACTCACTTGCGCACCATCTTCATGTTGAGCCCTCTGTAGTGCAACACCAGGCGCATGGCCATAGTCCTAACCTCGAAGGGCGTCTGACAGGCATTGACTGGCACTGACTGGCACTGACAGGCATTGACTGGCACTGACTGGCACTGACAGGCATTGACTGGCACTGACTGGCACTGACAGGCATTGACTGGGGTTGACTGGGGTTGACTCAGAGCACTCACTTGCGCACCATCTTCATGTTGAGCCCTCTGTAATGCAGCACCAGGCGCACCGTCATGCCGATGTCACGACTGACAAGGCGAACAAGAGAGGGGCGGGACGAGCAAGGGGCAGAACGAGGGGTGGGGCAAGGGAGGGGCGGAACAAGGGAGGGGTGGGCAGGGTGCAAGAGAGGGTGGGAACGGGATGAGATTCTAGAGAGGCAATGAGGAGGGGATGAAAGCGGTGGGTACGGGAATGAGAGGGAAAGGGATGGAGAGGGGAGGAGTGGGGAAGCGGAGGGGGGAGATTGGAAAACAAGATGGGAAAGAGAACAACTGCAAACAGCATCCCAAGCGTAAGGGGCACTAGAAGAACCACACATACGTCGAATTCACCTGAGCGTGTGAGTCTGCTTTTTTCACCTGAGCATGCGTCTGTTGTTTTCACCTGAGCATGCGTCTGTTTTTTTCACCTGAGCAGGTCGTCGTAAAACTCCTGGCTGACTCGCAGCTCTTCCAGAGGCATGGCACCATACTTGGCCTTCAGGTGCTCGTCGCCGCCCAGGCTGGATGGACTCACGTCTGCACAGAGGAGGTGGAAGGGGGGGAGGGATGGGGAGGGATGGGGAGGGATGGGGAGGGATGGGGAGAGATGGGATGGGATGGGGAGAGATGGGGAGGGATGGGGAGGGATGGGGAGAGATGGGATGGGATGGGGAGAGATGGGGAGGGATGGGGTGGGATGGGTTGGGATGGGGAGGGATGGGGAGGGATGGGGTGGGATGAGGAGGGATGGGGAGGGGGGGTGGGGAAGAGGGAGCAGAGGGGATTACTCATGAGGAGAGAAGAAGAGAGACAGGGGTAGCTCTCCATGTGAGTCCAGACGATTAACCTTAGAAAAAAAAAAAAACAAGAACACAAAAACATAGAATGGAACCAGACAGCATACATGAGAAGCAACTTCACTATTTTCCTGAGCTTGTATTCCTCTTGCTGAGCTTCTGCAACACATAAGCACTCCTCTAGTGACTCCTTCTGCCCAATCTGCTCACAGAGGCCGAAGACAAGGACCGGGCTTACAGAGGCCGAAGACAAGGACTGGGCTTACAGAGGCCGAAGGCGTAAATCTTGATGGATTTGATCCTGGCAATGACCGTGTCTCGGATGCCCACCCCTGCCAGCAGCTGACGGGCACATGCATGCGTGGGGCAGAAGGGGACAGGGATAAATTCTCAGTCGACTCAGAAGTCATTTGATTCGATCCTGGCAATGACCGTGTCTCTGATGCCCACCCCTGCCAGAAGCCGGTGATGGGAATTTGGATTGGAACGGGGACGGGGATGGGGATGGGGGTGGGGTTGGGGATGGTGACGGTCGAAGATACATAGTTCATTCACCACCACTCCTTGCCCCTCTAGCCCCTCAGCACCACACTCACCCCGCCCCCTGCCCCTCTAGCCCCTCAGCATCACCCTCACCCCGCCCCCTGCCCCTCTAGCCCCTCAGCATCACCCTCACCCCGCCCCCTGCCCCTCTAGCCCCTCAGCATCACCCTCACCCCGCCCCCTGCCCCTCTAGCCCCTCAGCACCACACTCACCCCGCCTCCCTGTCCCTCCTGCCGCAGCATGACGGGAAAGGAGTGCTTCGTCTTTGGCTCCACCACCATTCCCCTCTCCGCGCCCACACTCACCGTCGCCACGCACGCGTGCGGCACACTGTGGGGCAGAGAGGCACAAAGGGGGAAGCGTGGCGTAGGGAGGGGAGCGGAAAGTGGAGGGAGAGAGAGAGGGGGCGGGGGAAGGGAGAGCGGAGGGGGGTGTGGGGAAAGAAGTGAGAATACGGAGGGCATCGTCTTTGGCTCCGTCACCACGCCTCTCCGCGCTGACACTGGCAGTCGCCACGCGCGCGTGCTGCGTGCGGCACACTGCGGGGGAAGAGGCGCAGAGGGACGGGGAGGGATGGGTGGGGAAAGGAGAGGGAGCGGCGGAGGGGAGGGACGGAAAGGGGGTGTGGGAGGGGAGGGGGGAGGAGAGGGGAGGGGGAGGGGGAAGGGGAGGGGGAGGGGGAGGAAAGGAAAACGGAGGCGCAAAGGGAAGGGGAGGTGTAAGGGGAGGCGGAGGTGTGGGGAAGAGGAGGCGGAGAGGGAAAGGGGGGAGGCGAGGAGGAAGCAAAAACGGAGGCGCAAAGGGAAGGGACAACAGAATTGGAAGTGGAGGTGTTTTAGGGAGAAGAGGGGGAGGGGGGAGAGGGGACGGGAGGGGAAGGGTGGGGGGAAGGACGGGTGGGAGAAGGGGGACGGAGATGCATCATGCTGCTTCATTCCTACAGCCCGGCACGACGCTGTTTCAACCCACCTGTCGCCATCTGTCTCACGATGCCGTTTTCGCCCTTCCGCCACAGACGCCACTCGCGAAACCACCGCCTCCGCTTCGTCCTCCCCCACGCTTTGACCTAGCAGCGCGGAAGCCTCCGGTGAACCGTTCCCCTGCTCCCCCGCCCGCGCTCCGCTACGCTCATCTTCAGCCGAGCACGCCCTCGCCCACCCCAGTGCCCCCAACGCCACGGCGCTCAGCGACAGAAGTCCGCCGATCGCAGACTGTCGCATGGCGATCGGCAGCCGTGCGACTCCAACGGGCAGCGCACCCAATCCTGGCCCCGCTGGGCCGGCGACTGCCGGCGTGACAGCCGCAGCGGACGGCTGTAGCAGGCCTTTCGCCGGCTGTAGCCAGACGACGCGGTGGGCTATGTGCGACGCGACAAGCGGGCCTGCGGCGCGAGTCGACGCCGCTACAGCCGCAGTGACGAGCCGGCCGGTTCCGGATCCGAGCCGCTGATAGAAGCTCGCGCTTGCTCCCCCAACGCCGAGCCCCAGTTGAATGCACGCGTTTCCAGATCCCGTTAATGAAATAATCTCCATCGGCGATGCGTTACAATCTTGTGTCCCGGCGTTTAGTTCCGGCGATCCAGTGTTGTGGTCCACAGAAGCGTCGCTCAGTCTGTCGCACGCGAGGGAGTCATTTGTTTGCAAGCGGTGGGCGACGTCGCAGGCGGCGGAGAAGAGGGAGGCGACGGCAGACGTGGCAGCTGCTGCGACGGAGAGATCGCTTCCTGGCATGTCATGTCCGCCGAAGCTATTGAATACCATTTTCAGTATTATGATCAGTAACGCGAAATGGCGTCTTCAGTTGGTTTCAAACGCTACGACGACAGTTACTTAGATTGGAGCGTGTGTGACGAGCCGATACTACCCTCGGATCTAAAGAGACAGCTCACAGATGCAGCTATCGCGAATCACCCTTTGCACTGGGTGGAGAAAACGTAGACCTGGAGAGGAGTGGAGAGGACTGAAAATGCACTGTCCGCCTGATATTCGAGTGTGCTCGTGCGCAATGGACGAAGGAGAAGGCTCGGGGAGATCGAAAGTAGGTCGAGGAGTTCTCAAGGTGGAAGAACTAGAATCTAAAACTCAGACTGGGGGAGCAATGGGGCACCTGGATTCTGCAGCAGAACTAGCATCCTCCCCGAACCGAGTCCTCTAAAGAATTATGATGGGATGGGTTGAGTGGGGTGGGACAGGGTGGGATAGTCTCAAGGGTGGTGTTGTAAGCGCAGTGCTATGGACGAGTCGTCTTATCACTCACTGAACTACATGATAGCCATTCTGGGAAGTATCGACTGTTCGTGATTGGTCAACTTCCCCACGAGCTCGCTGCAACCACAAGTGGCACGCGTCGAGAGGGCGTTGGGGGATGTGGGCGACATTTTCAGGATGTACTACAGTTTACAAGAACAAAGTCAGCCAACTTTAACCACAAATACACTATCTGATAGAAATGTGTATTGAGAAATCTGGCACAATCTATCTCACTTTCATTCACATCATTTCTTCTCAAGCTATTGTACAAACACAATGCATCCCCGCTAAGCCAAAATCTTGGCTGCATAACCGACAACACATCCCTCCTCACCACTAACCCTGAAAGGTAATCTCATACACAGGCAGCTCATGGTGCGCACTAGTCATCACCACGACACTATCAGACCGCGAGGAAATCACAGTCCGCACAAGGAGCAGCACAAAGAGAATAAGCTTCCACACGGGCCCAGCAGGGCCTGTGCGGCTTGGAGTGACATAGGATCTGCTGATGCTGGCATGGCAGCCGAACCAATGCTGGCTGGCCCTCAAGCCTTCCTTGAAGATCGAGTTGATGTTTTCGGGCGGGGTGCCGTGGAATGCGAGCTGCAGGGGGAGTGGCAGGCCACTTGCCTGGGTCTGTCCGTCGACCAAGTTACCTGGGTACCAACAGGGAGAGCATGAGGAAAGCAGGTCATGAGAGCAGGAAGGTGATGAAGGAGGTAGGGGGGGCTAACTCGTGGGGAAACCACGAGTCACCGCCCATATTGCTCACAAAGCCGCAATAGTTCATTCACCGCTGCACCCTCACACATAGGCTCCTCCAGCCGTCACACCCTCACACAGAAATGTTTTCACGCAAGCTCCAGCTCTGCCTCGCAACTCACTGGGGCTGAGGTTGGCGCAGCCAGTGGCAATCCCTTCCATGGACTCCACAAACTTGTCAAACACCGGCTGCCCTAGCTGCAGGTTCGGGTTGCGCCGCTTCCCAATGATCTGGTATGGCGAAATCTTTCCCGCCAGCATCTTCATCACGTTGTCCTCCGAACAAAAAGCGTCCAGTGTTGCGCCTAATAGCTGCATCAAGGAAATTCAGCAACCCACGAATGTATGGGTACGGAGGGCAAAAACATCTCTACAAACAAGAGAAGAGCAGAAAATGAAGTAACATGTATTTTTTTTTAAATATTTTTCCACTCGTGGCCCCTCACCTGCTTGCGATCCTCTCCAGTGGCCCCCAGAGCCAGCTTGAGCAGCTCAAGAGGGTTGTGTGGAAACTGCACCACCACATCCCTCTCCCGCCCCGTGAACGGATTCCGCTGCACCATGCGCTGCAGATCAATGGTATACACCACGCCCAAGGGGTACGCGTCGGTGACTATCGGCGCGGTTTGCGCGCACATGTAGCCCTGAGCGCCGGCTCGGAAGATGGCTCGGGCCGTGGCAGCGTCGTACTGCCGGAGGTTGTTGCGGCTGTCGCGCCAGTGGATGGTCGGCATCGGTGCTCCCCCTGGCAGCTGAAGGCCCTGAGGTTGCAGACCATGAGAATACACATAAAAATAAAGGGAGGGGGGGAGGGGGGGAGGGGGGGGGGGAGGGGTTTCATAAATAAAGTTAGATGGCAAAACGAAGAAACAATGGAAGAACGGAAAGAAGAAAGAAAAAAGCATTTAAGAGTGAGAAAAGACGTAGTACTTGGAATGATTGATGCTCACACAACAAGAGATTGGCAGCCTTACCTGCTGGTTCGGCATTTCCAAGGCCTGGGGCGGCGCAGGAGCAGGCAGCGCCACGCCAATCACCTTGATCTGGCGCGTGTACCCGCTCTCCACATTCCGCTGCGTCATGGCACGCAGATCCGCGGTATAGCGCGCGCCGTTAGGGTAAACATCAGACGCGAAATCGCCGAGATCAACAGATGGGAGGCGCCTTGCGATGGCGTCGCGAACGGTGTTCTCGAGGTGCGGTGGGTAGCGGCGCCACTGCGCGTCGTCGCGCCACCACACACCCGGCGTGGTCGGATCGGCGCAAGGCAGGAGAACACACATGTTTGCCGGTGAATAGATGGTGACGGTGAGGTTGACGGGTGCGGGTGCGAGAGCGAGTGAGGGTCAGGTTACTACTATCGTGCGAGAAGATCTGCCAAGGCAGGGAAACCATAGGTCCTAGAAGGTTATGGCTGTCCTGCTCGAATTCCTCCAAACCGATTAAATTGGAGGCAAGAAACGCTTGATATTCTAACTCTCCGAGAGTCCGTGGCAACGACGCGTATAGCCACGCCTTGCGCTCGCCTCCCTTCACAGACCCGCTCATGCTCGTCCCTGCACGCTCGTGCCTTGCCTGCGCTTTGCTCCGAGCCCCGCATGGTGCTGCTTGCGGCTGCTGAAACGTCGGCGCGCCATACATCATGATGAGTTGCGTTTTGGCAGCCCAAGCCTGCATGTACGACTCGAAACCTAAGAAACGAGCCATGAATGTGTTACACGGTCAGGATACCAGGATTCGAGATATCCATCATCCAAACCATCCCCTGCAGCAGTTCCGTCTCGGCAGTCATTGCATGACCTGCTTCCGCGCTGGCGTGGAGCCCATCCCAACCGCCATGATTATCATTCCTCCACTGCTAGCTTTTCATGCTAAACTCGAGAATGACGTTTCATGCAAGGTCGAGAGCATTAAGTTCACTTCAAAACGTTTTCATAACGGTGTAAAAGCGTATTTCTAAGGTTTGGTTAGTTTTAGAAATGCCAGGAACAAAAATTTCGTTGCTCAGATGCAATGCCAGGGGACTCGATTCCCGTTATTATTCAGAGATTTGAATCTGACGGACCTAGTAAAGGGGAAATGGTTACATCTCACAACTTTCGTCTTTACCACGGGGTTGGATGCGGCTCTGCAGGGTGAGAAGTAACTTCAGCGTGGTTGCAGTCGATGTTGCGCTTTCCATCATCGAGACGGTCATGCGTGACAGAGCAACGTGGACTGGAATTTATGAACCCTATTCTTCATCACTTCTGCCAGAAACCTCAGCATGTTCGAGCATCCCAGCAAATAACAAGGGCAATATTGGCGAAAGGCGAGAATGGACGGACCGAAATGGACGTCGACTTACGCATCCTCTGCTCCCTGACATGGGCATTACAGGGATCTATGTCGTGGGCGTTGCGATCCTCTGGGTTGCGATTGCCAGAGTCTAGTGCCGAGAGGCCTATTTGGACCACATGGAACGGCATTTAGAAGAAAATGTCAGGAATCTGGTGATTCGACTCTTTCTTGTATGGTACAATAGTGACAGTATTTACAGTTTGTTGGGAAACTAATTAGCTACCAGCAAGCAAAAACGAGAATGAGAAAATCAGAAACCTACCAAAAACACCGATCTCCGTAGCAATCACGGCCTTCTCAAAGCTCAAAACGCTGCTGAAGATTGTCTTGTCTCCAGGCTTTCCTCAGGATCTAAGTTTTCCGACAGTTCAGGTTTCAGTCGAATTTCAATTAGTGCAGCCGCCTCAAGAAGATGACGCGCGCTGCCAAGGGCCCAGCCAAGAACCTCTGGCTCCTGGGGGCATAACATACCCGCCATCCCCATCCACACTTCTCCTCCTCGTGGCCAGTGTAGCGTCGCATTGCTCCATCCCTTTCCTCTCTGCTGACGACAGGCTGTGTCGCCGAGGGGCCTGCGACGGCGCCTGTGGCGAGTTGCAATGCGTGGAGGGAGCGCACTGCACGTCGCACGAGCAGCTGTTGCTCATGCCGTGGCAACTCCGGCAAATGCTGGACGATAACTTGAAGGCAACATCCCACTCCGATTCACCGATGCTTGCTTCAAGATCGCTTCGCACTTTGCTGCACCCTGGCGACGAGATCCTCGTAACAGTCTCGGCCGTCGCGAGTAGATCTCGCTGCACAGAGCGCGTTAGCGGGATCCCGTCACTCGAGGCGGCTCCGCCGGCTCGGAGGCTCAGGCGCGAAAGAGCCGGAAGTACCGGTGACCCCTCGCGAGAAACAGAGCAGGGACGAGAAGGCGCCGGGCGGGTGGCCACTGGCTGGGCAGCACGCTTCGGCGTGAGGAAGTAGGTTTCACCTGGCACGAGAGGAGTGGTTGATGACACGACGGATACGCCCGAGGTGAGGTGCGTGTCAGGATACTCAGAGAGGACGGTCTGGGCCGTTAGATGCTCGCCGGATGGGGTCGACGAATCGTCGAAGAAGCGAACGGACCCGTCAGGGAGCATGACGATGACTGGATCATTCTCTACTATGGTGTCTGTTACGACTTTTGAGGTTCTGAAGGAAAGTTTTCGCGGAGCTATGGCGCTAATTGAAGCCATGTCGGGAAGTGATTGCGAATGCAATGCGGAGTCACATTCGCCGACTTATATCCGAGTCGAGAGGGTACTCGCAGCTGCGCAACGATGAGGGCAGCATTGTCGTCTCGAGAAGGTTGAAGAGGGAAACTATTCTGAAAAGAAACGGAAACTGAAGCAGTTAATCGCTTGATCTCGATCTAAGCGTTTCTTACATCGAGGCGTTTTAATCTAGGAGGCAACATTAATTGCTTGATTTCAATCACGTGTGCCTTCAATCAAATCCGCGTCCCATCGTCATTTGTGAACGGGAGCTGCATGTCACCTTCCTTTTTTCCACGTTGCGACTTTTGTACTGTAGTATTCCAGTACAGTATTAGGAGGCATCAGTCACGCCACTGTGTGAGTGGAATAAAATGTGGTCTGAAACGCACACCACAGAAAATGCAGCTGAGGGAAGCAGGGAAGCGGACCAGTCTTGGTGGCTCGTTGGGTTTGCGGGCTGAATGACGACTGACTGATGTTCCGGACGGAGAGGGATTCGGGAATCCGTATGCGAGGGAATGGGATGGATGACTGACAGCCGCAGAAACGCAGTCCAGAGAAGCGGGAAAGTGGGCTGGCAGCGTTGTGAGCACGTGATCACCAGAGGTGAAGCGTAGGGGAAGAGGAGAGTGGAACGGGTTTTGAGCTGATTTGGTTCGGTACTGTTGAAGGAAGAAAAACGCCTGCCACGCAGCATTGTCGCTTTTGGGTCATGGTGGCCCATGCTTGCGGGGCATTTCATTCAATCCCAAGTGCAGAAAGGGGCATTTCATTCACTTTTCATTCGCCCAAATGTACAGCTCATCTCCTTCGTGGTCCCCACGCAGTGCTTCACAAGGACACTCGTTACTTTGTGAGAAGGGATGCGTACACTGATAAGAAAACTCAACAGAAGTTGATTTCAGGTTTTTTGGGTTGCTTGGCAACCCTATATAATTGGTTTCACTTGAAACTTTTGCATCTTGGTCAAGAGAATGCCTCAAATTGTGTATAAAAATCACTCATGAATGAGACATCCTAAAAGTGAAACCATATCATGTTGGAACCATGATTTTGTTCCAACCGTCCCAGCATCGTCGACTAATGCGGCGGATGGTACGATCGAACATGGCATCATCGTGAGCGAATGCATTTGTACAGATGAACACGGTATGAAGTGTAGTGCGGATGCTTCAAGAGATGTTAGACTGTATCAAAGTAGCAACATAGATTGATGGGGACGTTGAAACAGCGAATACACGCTGCCCCAACGACGATGACAACCTCTAGTTGCATACACGATGCAATGTAACACCTTGCCTTGAAACACACACACCTCACAAACACGAAATGCAGCACGTCACAAAAATTGTAAAGACATAAAAATGGATGCTCAATATGCACCGATGCTACAGCTGAGGTTGATGGGGTAGTTGACACAGTGAAACACACTGCCCCAACGACGATGACAACCTCAACTGCAAACACGATGCATACCAGCACCACACCTTGAAATAATCACAACCAACTGACACACACACAATCACACATACCCACGCACGTACGACACACACACACACACACACACACACACACACACACACACACACACACACACACGCACACACACGCACACACACCCACACGCACACACACACACACGCACACACACGCACACACACGCACACACACATACACACACACACACACCCACACGCACACCCACACGCACACCCACACGCACACGCACACGCACGCGCACGCGCGCACGCACGCACGCACACACGCACGCACACACACACACATGCACACACACACACACACACACACACACACACACACGCACACACATGCACATGCACTGACACACATATGTATACACACACATGCATACATTAATGAGAGAGCAAACAAGCATGATAAAGAGTCAGACACTAACACACACGCACACACTGGCACAAACACATGCAAACAAGCACAGATACATGCAGACATCAGTGATAAATACCAACCATCACCAATGGAGTTCTGTTTACCATTCATGAATCATCACTAGCCTATCCCCTCTTTACCCTCCCTACACCCCTTCTTCCCTCCTTCCCTCATCTCTCTCCCACCCCCTCCCTCATCTCCCTTGTCCGTCAAACAAAATTCAAGAATGAAGCTCACTCGCCCTGCACAAAGCAAAAACAGAGAATGCAAAGTACATGCCCTGCACAAGAAAAAGGCAAAATAGAGAATGTTCACACACTGTGTAAAAAAAAGCACAAAAACATAGTGTAACTTACGTGCCCTGCGAAGAGGCCAAGCAGGAAATGCAATCACCCGTAGAAAGCAAAACCAAAGAGTAGACCTCACAGCATTGCACATGGAAACAAAAACAGAGAATGCAGCTCACACATGCACTAGAAACGGAATAAGAACAATAGGGAATGGTGTTGAAGAGATCAATAAAAAACTTCAATTATAATTTCACTACTCACAGTGCTAAATTGGAATAAGTCGTGGCACCACAGATACTACACTGGAATGATGCAATACCTTGCAGCCACCCCCGCATTCAGCTTCATCCTCACATTCGCACTCACACACGCGCAAATACTCTCAACTTTCTTAGACACACTCACAGAAACAAACATATAAATCTACACGCTCATTCTTGCACAAACCCTCGCACTTATGAACGTTCTCATTCACAATAACACTCACACAGAAACTTACACGCGCACGCTAACACACTCGCACACACCCTTGCACTAACACTCGCACTTGCTCTCGCACTCACCCTAGCACACACAGTCGCACACCCTCTCATCCTCGCGCTCTCTCATGTGCTCTCACACGCGCTCTCTCACGCACTCTCACGTGCACCCTCACGCGCTCTCTCACGTTCTCTCTCACGCGCACTCTCACGCGCTCTCTCGCGCGCAATCTCGCGCGCTCTCTCGCGCGCACTCTCACGCGCATTCTCACACGCTCTCTCACACGCTCTCTCACACGCTCTCTCACGCTCTCACGCGCACTCTCACACGCAAAGTGCTCTTTAACTCGTACTCTCACGAGTCTCCCATGCGTCTCCCACATGCACTCTCGTGCGCTCTCTCACGCGCTTGCGCACGCGCTCTCTCATGTGCTCTATCACGCACCCTCTCACGCACTCTCACGCGCACACTCACGCGCTCTCTCACGCGCTCTCGCACGTGCTCTCACACTCACTCTCATGTGCACTATCACGCGCTCTCTCACGCGCACTTATGCGCTCTCTTGAGCGCACTCTCTTGCGCACTCTCATGCGCACTCTCACGCGCTCTCTCCCGCGCTCTCTCATGCGCACACTCATGCGCACACTCACGCGCACACTCATGCGCACTCTCACGCGCCCTCTCACACGCACCCTCACATGCACTCTCACATGCTCCCTCACGCGCATTCTCACACGCTCTCTCACAAGCACCCTCACGCGCACTCTCACGCGCACTCTCATGCGCACTCTCACGCGCTCTCTCCCGCGCTCTCTCACGCGCACACTCATGCGCACACTCACGTGCCCCTTCACGTGCTCTCACGCGCTCCCTCATGTTCTCTCTCACGCGCTCACGCGCTCTCTCACGCGCACTCTCACGCACACTCTCACGTGCACCCTCACGCGCTCTCTCACGTTCTCTCTCACGCGCACTCTCACGCGCTCTCTCACACGCACTCTCACGCGCTCTCTCACGCGCACTCTCACGCGCATTCTCACACACTCTCTCACACTCTCTCAAGCGCACTCTCACACGCACTCTCACACGCAACGTGCTCTTTAACGCGCACTCTCACGAGTCTCCCATGCGTCTCCCACATGCACTCTCGTGTGCTCTCTCACGCGCTTGCGCACGCGCACTCTCATGTGCTCTATCACGCGCCCTCTCACGCGCCCTCTCACGCACTCTCACGCGCATTCTCACGCGCACACTCACGCGCTCTCTCACGCGCTCTCGCACGTGCTCTCACACTCACTCTCATGTGCTCTCTCACGCGCACTTATGCGCTCTCTCTAGCGCACTCTCTTGCGCACTCTCATGCGCACTCTCACGCGCTCTCTCCTGCGCTCTCTCACGCGCACACTCACGCGCACACTCATGCGCTCTCTCACGCGCACTCTCACGCGCACTCACGCGCTCTCTCACGCTCTCTCACGCCCTCTCACGCGCACTCTCACGCACACCCTCACGTGCTCTCTAACGTGCACTCTCACTAGTCTCCCACGCGTCTCCAACGTGCACCCTCACGCGCCCTCTCACGCACCCTCTCACGCGCCCTCTCACGCGCCCTCTCACGCGCCCTCTCACGCGCCCTCTCACGCACTCTCATGCGCACTCTCACGCGCACACTCACCCGCTCTCTCACGCGCTCTCGCACGCGCTCTCTCCTGTGCTCTCTCACGTGCTCTCTCACGCGCACTATCACGCGCTCTCTCACGCGCACTCTCACGCGTGCTCACGCGCTCTCTCACGCTCTCTCTCTCTCTCTCTCTCTCTCTCTCTCTCTCTCTCTCTCTCTCTCTCTCTCTCTCTCTCTCTCTCTCTCTCTCTCTCTCTCTCTCTCTCTCTCTCTCTCACGCGCTCTCTCACGCGCTCTCTCACGTGCACTCGCACGCGCACACTCACGCGCTCTCTCACGCGCACACTCACGCACTCTCTCACGCGCTCTCCCCCGCGTTCTCTCACACGCACTCACGCGCTCTCTCACACGCACTCACGCGCTCTCTCACGCACAATCTCACGTGCTCTCTCACGCGCTCTCTCACGAGCACTCTCCTGTGCGTTCGCTCCCGTGCACACGCTCTCCCTCGCGGTCCTTCCTTTTCTTCGAATGAAAGAGGAGACCAATGACACACAAAATTTACGAAGAAGCAAAAAAAAGGGAGGAAATATCAGAGGCAGAAGGGTGGATGAAAGGCCAGGAACGCACCTGATAACCACGGTGCCTCAGAAAACAACCGGCGCTGGTGCACCAACCCGCGTTCGCGCATCAACCCGCGCTCGCGCACCAATCCGTGCTTGCGCTCGTGAACCTGACGCCGGAGGCGACTGCGGGGAGGGAAGGAGAGGCGACGGCGGGGAGGGAAGGAGAGACGATGGCGGGGAGGAGGGAGAGGCGGCGGCGGAGAGGAGGGAGAGGCGACGGCGGGGAGGAGGGAGAGGCGGCGGCGGAGAGGAGGGAGAGGCGACGGCGGTGAGGAGGGAGAGGCGACGGCTGAGGGCGAGGCGACGGCGCGGAGGAGGGAGAGGCGACGGCGGAGGGCGAGGCGACGGCGGGGAGGAGGGAGAGGCGACGGCGGAGGGCGAGGCGACGGCGGGGAGGAGGGAGAGGCGACGGCGGAGGGAGAGGCGACGGTGGGACGGGAGGGAGCGGCGGCGGCGGCTGGGAGGGAGGGAGACGTGATGGCGGGGTGGGAGGGAGCGCCTACGGCGGGGTGAGAGGGAGAGGCGACGACGGGAAGGGAGAGGATAGTGGGATGCGAGGAGAGGCGACGGCTGGGTGGGAGGGAGCGGAGGCGGTGTTGCATTGAAAAACGGGATAACTAGATGCTAGGTAAGTCGTGACTGCAGGATTGGGAATACGGGGGTTCGGAGGGAGAAGCACTCTGGATGGGGAGGAAAGGGCGTAGTCTATGGTGCTTGTAGACCAAGAACCAAGAACCAAGAGGAGCGTCGAATCCGTGTGGGCCACCTTGTTCGTGCTGATCCCCCGGGCTGTCGCCCTATCTCTAATGAGGAATTCATTGCTCATTGCCCCCCCTCAACCTTCCCTTCGGGCCGTCAAATTCTCAAGGACATTTTCCAGGCGATTCCCCCTGAGTGGTGGCAAATACTCCGCCACCCTCCCCAACCCCAGATTTCCCCGGGTGAGTGGTTTCTATCAGCCCATGATTCCCCTGATCAGTACCGTAATCTCCCGGACAAAACACCCCCCCATGATAGTACACCCCCGGGTAGCTTGTGCGGGGTGGGTGCTATGGGCGACCTCGTTTCTACTATACCCCCCTTTTTGGATGATTTTCTATAACACCCCCCTTTTCTTACGGATTCCTATTATAGTTGTTATCGAGTCTGATTCCTTACAAGGGAATATCGCGAGAATTGCTTCCTAAATGAAATTTCGCGCGTACTTGCACTTAGAATCCGCCAACATTTCCCCCTCCCACAATCTCACTGTCGCCACCCTGGCGAATCTTTCGCTGCTAGTGGACATTTCCCCCATCCCACATTCTAGGAAGTTGCCACGCTGGCGAATCTTCCGCTGCAAGTGGCCCGAAAGGTGAAACTCACATTCTTGCCAAAACTCACATTCTCGCCTCAAACTGTGATGTTAAAACGACCATTGAAACACCCAAACTGTCTAATTTGAGAATCCTCTTGCATTAAAATATACCATATATAACCACCCGGGTATTATATAGGATTTTCCGTTGAGAGGACCCCCCCCCCTTTTTTCCCTGTGGTTATCATAATACCCCCGGGTGTTATGTCCGGGAGAATACGGTATTCTCTTGCTTTTGAAGCAATCTCTTTTTCCCCTCCGTTCTCTCTCTTCGCAAGTGTCTTCCAAGTCTCCTCTTCGCTCCTCATCGACAGAACTCCGCTCGGGTTTCTCACGCTTGACATCAAGAATGTCACAGCAGCTTGCGTACAGGGTAGGTGGCTGCTTGGGCCCTTGTATACAGGTGCGGGTCTCGGTTCGCGACTGGAGCTTCTTACTGACAGCCTCCCCTCCCTCGCCACCATCCGACGTCGGCTATACCATTGGCAAACTCTTAACCATGATACCCGGTGGATAGCGGCTCTCTCAGGTCCTCCTCCTCCTCTCTTCCCGGACCTCTCCCACGCATTCCTACGTGACCAACCTAGCCTTCAGAAGGACCTCCTATTCCGGTTCTACACTCGTTCGCTTCCATCAGGATCGCGCTTCACCAAGGCAGCTGATCGTGGCATCTGCTCTTCTTGTGACTCTGGGTGTGTGGAATCTATTTCCCATATCTTCTTTGAATGTGGGGTTGCGAGATCGGTTTCGCTAGCTCTGCGCTCCACGGCTCGTCGTCACCTCGGCACTTCGCTTTCTGCAGAACAGGTCTTCTTCCCGCTTTCTTCTAGGACCGGCCAATCTGCTCCTTGGAGCCTGCTCGTTGGTGCTGCTGCGAAGGCTATATGGAACGCGCGCTGCGATCGCAAGTTTCACGATTCCTCCGCCACTGTGTTAGAGATTCTCCAGCTCATCCTCGCTCAGTTCCTTATAGCCTTCAAGATTTTTCTATGGCGGAGATCCAAGCAGTCTCCAAAAAAACAACGGCGATCCGCCTCTTGCCTTGCCCGGGCAAAGAAACACCGTTTTTTCACATTCTCACCGGATGGTGTTCCGTCTATTCACCCAGAACTCCGCTTCTCCTGGCTCTTAAACGATTCGTTCCGACCTCCTTAGTTGGTTTTCTCAGCATTACGTGTAGAGCAAACCACCTGCAGGGTGGCTGTCCGTGTACAGAGGATTAGCGTGTGTCTTACGCACCTTCTTATTGAAGGTTGGCTTCTTAGCTGTTCTCCATTTTGCTCTATACACCTTGTTGTAACAGATTACGATCTTAATATAACATTCTAACATTCTAACATTCGAGTTGAAAGGTGTGCAACAAAAACAAACACTCTATTCTTGTTACAAAAGCTTTATTGTTTTTTCCATATTCTATTGTCATAATGATAAAGTCATTGTATCACAAAGATGTCAGTTTGGCTATGTGGTTTTTGTGAAGCAGGATTGTAGCCGTATAACCACTCAAAACTTGTCACCAATAGACAATTCCGAATTCATTTGCAATATTTTTTCCTGTAACCTGGTTGGACTCGCAAAAAACGGGACTGAACATTTTTGTGACAGTGAACCAGCAGACTTTGTAACGAGCAAAACAGTGCCGCGTGGTTCAGTGCGCTCCAAAAACCCTTCTCACAATTTTGCACGAGACGAACCAGAAACAAGGGGAAATTAAATAAGCAGTCACAATTAAGCTCGTTTTATCGCGTTTGGTCACAGGGCTATCACAAACAATCACAGTACAGTAGATTCCTATCGCGGGTGATCACAATGCACTCACGGATGGTCATACCACGCCTCTAAAAGCTATCACGTTTGGTCACTCGATGAAACGATAGTAACTCATTTGAAACCACAAAAGAAACTGTAGAGATTTTGGGGATTCCCAATATTGATTGGTTGTTACCTCGCGCATGATTCTAGCCTGACATTTAGGGGAATGAAGAAAAAAATAAACCCCTATAGGATGGCACGTCCTTCGGGAGGCATCAACCCTAAACACCATGCAACAAGGTGTTTAGGGTTGATGCATCCCGAATTAAATACCATCAGAATGGGTTTTTTTTTGTCGTGGGAAAAAATATACCCTTTGAGTTTTACACGTCTGAAAGTGATATTCTTAGGAACATTATGCATCATTCGAACAGTAGACAATCAAATAGTAACAAGAACTTGCAGATGTTTTTAACGAGTTACCAAGAGTTGTCGCAAAACTATTCGTAATACTACGGACAAAACGGCGCGCGCGAGAAAAGTTTCATTGAATCCCTACAGTGACCTGAGTAGTTTCAACTTTCTATCGACCGTTTCAATGAGTGACCAAACGCGATAGCTTTCCGGGGCGAGGTGTGACTATCCGTGATAGCACTGTGATCACCTGCGATAAAATTCTACTGTATTGTGACTGTTTGTGATACCACTGTAACGAACCGTGATAAACCGGGTTGAATTGTGATTGCCTATATAATTTCCCAGAAACAAGCAGGCAGAAACAAGAAGAGAAAAAAAAAAACAAAGCACAAAGAAGAACAGCGTGTCAAACTCATATGCTGCTTATTGTGTAGGCTGTAGTGGGTAGCCCATATGGGGTACAACCCAATTAGGGTTTCCTACTTGTACCTATCCTGCTGCTAGTTCATCCATCCATGTTCGTTATTCATACAAGGTATCAAAGCAGGTCCTAGCCTAGGACCGTTCTTGTTTTTCGGGCCCACCATTACTTAGTGACCGACTACGGTTACCGCGTTACCCTACGCCCTGCCTTGCGTTGCGCTCTCAGCGCGTGCCCTGCCCTGCCCTGCCTTGCGTCACACTGCCTGTGTAAGCCCAGCCCTGCGTCGCGCTGCCCCGCGCACGCCCTGCCCTGCCCCGCGTCTCGCAGCCTCGCGCACGCCCTGGCCTGCCCCGCGTCGCGCTGCCCCGCGCACGCCCTGCCCTACCCCGCGTCGCGCTGCATCGCGCACGCCCTGCCCTGCCCCGCATCGCGCTGCCTCGCGCACGCCCTGCCCTGCCCTGCCCCGTGCCCTGCTGCCCTGCGCGTCACGCCCTGCTGCAGCCCGCGCGTAGCGCCCTGCTGCCCTGCGCGTCGCGCCCTACCGCCTGCCCGTTAGGCCCGCCGCGGGCCCTCCCTTCGCGCCGCCGCGCCTGCTCATTACGCCCGCCGCCGCGCCCGCCCGTTAGGCCCGCCGCGGGCCCTGCCTTCGCGCCGCCGCGCCTAACCGTTAGGCCCATCACGGGCCCGCTCGTTCGCCCCTCCCGCACCTGTCCGCTACGCCCGCCGTGGGCCCGCCCGCCGTGCCTGCGTTTTGCGCCCGCCGCGGGCCGGGACTCGCTGCCCAGCGCCGCCCTGCCCGTGCGCGATGCTGCCCGTGCCAGCGCCCTGCCCTGCCAACGCGCCAGCGCCCTGCCCTGCGCGCGCTGGCGCCCTGCTCTACCCTGCCCGAGCCGCATCAGCAGCACCCTGTGCGCCCTGCTAAACCCTAAAATAAATAAATCAATTTCAAAGAAAAATTAGAAGCCCTTGGTGCTTCTGCCCTAGGAGCTACTGCTTGCTACTGGCCGCGCGCCACCCTGCTCTGGCCGCACACCGCCCTGCTCTCCCCGCGCGCCGCCCTGCTCTGGCCGCGCACCGCCCTGCTCTGGCCGCACGCCGCCCTCCTCTGGCCGCACGCCGCCCTGCTCTAGCAGCGCGCAGCCCTGCTCTGGCCGCGCGCCGCCTTTCCCTGACCGTGCACTGCCCTTCTTTCCCTACATGCTGCCCTGCCGGTCGCGTGACTTCTCTTCACGGCAGCGGTGGGAGTGGTGGCGACGGTGGCGGCGGAAGTGGGAGTGGTGGCGGCCGTCGTAGCAGTCGCTGTGGAGCTGTTCGGTGGGGAGTTTCTGGCGGTGGCCAGATGCAGCTGCAACGGCGTCCGCGTGCGACCCTTACACCCCAACAACTTGGTGAGTGGTTTTCTCAGCGTTGGGCGTCTCACCGTAGTAGCCGTAGTGGCATTCGCGGTGCAGCTACTCAGTTGGGAGGTTCTAGCGGTGGCCAGATGTAGCTGCAGCGGCGTCCGCGTGAGACCCTTACACCCCAGCAGCTTCGTGAGTGGTTTGCTCAGCGTTGGGCGTCTCAACGTAGTGGCCGTAGTGGCAGTCACGGTGCAGCTACTCAGTTGGGAGTTTCTGGAAGTGGCCCGTTGCAGCTGCAGCGGCGTCCACGTG